ACGAGAATAAAACTTCCGCGCAGAGATCGTCGCGAATCTTTCGGGTAGGAAAGTTCCGCGTGCAAACTCCGGCATATGTCGGCCGCGATACTTATTCCGAAAAGTTTCCCTCGCTGTTTGGGGGGACCGTGCGAAAGAGTTCGATACGGTACGTACGGTAAGCTGCCGACGGATTCGGAACGCGTGTTAGCCCGACACGTCCAGGAGTAATGTTCGAAATTAAAATTCGAGTGTTCTTCGCGAACAGATACGAGAGAGTGAAAGAGAGACAGTTACGGTTGCGATTTCGCGTTGATCCGACACGCGAGTGCCGGTGTAATTCTCGTTGCAAAAATTTCCACTGACCTCGAAATTTGTATTCCAAGGCAGATTAAACGAGGGAAAGGAAATCTCGTCGATAAGATAATGCATTGGCTGTCTCTGGAACGAAAACACGGGGACAGCTCCGGCGGATTAAACGCTAAACTCGGCGCCGGTTTTACGCTGGAGCCAGGGACCAAGAAGGAACGGAAGCGGCACAAATCTTCCGAGTTCGCTAAAGACACGGTAATCCGTAAATCAAGACGAAGGATCGCTCGCGCCACGGATCCATTCATTTTCCAATTTGTTGGCCCTCGCCCAATTCCCTACTGTCTCCTTCGATACCGTCCAGCTAAGTTTCGCGTAAATTCCTATCGAACCGTCCCCGAAGCTGCGGCCTCTGGCGTGAAGCACGGTGACCGGGCGCGTGCACGTCTAAATTTAACCGGAAGTTAGGTTGGCCGATAGTGCACGGACACGCCTCGGTCGAGATTAAGGTCTGGTGCCTGGCGTGCAAGTGGCCGCTTCCCTTTTTCCCTCTGTCGCCAAAGATCCAACCCAGCTACCCCTTTCGTGCCGTAAATACATCCGTTCCGTTTACGCGTTACCGGGCAGATGTTCCGGCATTCGTGTCTCGGTGGCGAAACGAAAACAGTAGGAGGAGCTTGGGAAACGTCTTTCGATGACACGGACAGCTCTTGAACTGCTCGATTATGCCTCTTCGAGAGCGCGTTATGTTTCCTCGAGTGGATGCCGGAGACGGAATTGCTTCGTCTACGCGTGTCGCATGTACGGGATCGTTCTTTCCCGTCTGCTACTTCGTGTTGCATTTTCGACGAAAATGCACGGTAATCGCCGAAAGCTGAGAAAATATGGGTCAGATCGACGGACTAATCAGCGGCCTGGTCTGAGTACCGAATCGTTATTAAGGACTTTCGTGATCCCGAAAAGGAAGCACGTTTTCGCGCGATCGCGAGCAGAATTTTGTTGCGCGGTCGTGTTTGCAGAACGTTCGCCTAACAAAGCAAGCCGTGCAATTAAGTTAAATAAGATTAATGCCCGGCGTGATGCAACAACTTCAATGGCGCGGTGTGTTTCCGCCGCCCCGGCGTAAATTCGTACGATCGTTGGTACACGAGGCAACGCGAGATTAATTGCATCGAAAATGCAGAAAGGGTTGCGCGTAAAAGGGAACAAGGCTGCACTGTTCCGGCCCCTTGCACGATCACACGGTTTACGCAGTTTGCATGCATCAATTTCAGTAATTCAAGCGCTACATCGGCGAATCTCCGCGTTTCCACGAGACACGGAGATGACACAAATTTCAACCTCCACGCGTTATACGCGTTACTTCCCGGGTAATTCGTTAATCGAAATACCGGGGATGAAATATTTTTGAAAAATTCTCCTCCGTATTTAACATCGAGTTTGCTTCGCACTCGAGTTATGCGCTTCACGTTCGACGAGACCACCCATCGGACGCTCGAAATGTCCAGCCAATAACTCGTCCAACGATCGCGTCGCCGTGACATCCCGTGACAGCGTAAAACGCGAGTACGCTTCTGTAAAAGAGCAGAGAAAAAAGAAAAAGAAAAATCCCGACGAAGGAAAGAAATAACGGGCTTGTGCCCAGCTGCCTAACAACGAACTGCGTCGTCGTTTCTGTCGACAACTTTAACGACCTCAACCCTATTTTCTAACCCTCCGGAACAGCGCTAAACGGCCAGGACGTGGAACACGCGCGGCGGTTCTTCGCGTTCAATGAACCGATGACGACTGGCAGCTGCAGGATTCTCAAGGACCTGCTGCCTCTTTTTTTCTCAGCAACCGGAGCCCCCTTGACCTCGTGCCTGACGTTTTCTTGTATACGCCGGCATTACCATAAGCGGTAACCGATTTCCAAGCAGCCGAAAGCGGCCACGACCTCCCGACACTCGTGAAACTCACTCGTGAATTTCATTGCTTTCCTTCCGTCTAGGCTGACCTCGGCACACCGAGGCTCCAACGTCTTATCGATGTTTCGCATCGTAAGATCCTCGAAACTATACGTGGGAGTGATACCGGTGTTAGTAATTGCGATAGGATCGCTCGATTAAGACGTTAATTATCGAAAGATTGACCGGCCCCGTTCGTTTTCTCCGCTTCGCGTGGAAGAACTCCCGGTGGGTTAATTAACTCGTGCCGCGACGAAAGCGGCCGGGTATCGCGCCGGATGAAAAAAGGAAGGGAAAAGAGAGGCAGGGAGCAGAGGGGAGGGGAAAAAAGGAAGAAAGAGGCGTTTAAGGATTAATCATGACCCGGTAAGACGAGCTGCTCACCTGCGTCAGGGAAGCCTCGCAAACGACTCACGGAACTCGCTCGAGTCGCGGGGGTAGTGCACTTCTTTGCATGCTAGAGAAGACTGGCAAAGCCAGTCGGACGTCCTGATTTCTGGCGTTTGCCGTAATGAAAGAGAATCTCTAACGCCGCTGATTGCTCCACCGCTCGACCGACCGGCGCCGTGCATGCTGATTACGCTCCTCCTCCAGTCAACCGACTTTTAATATATTTTCTCCGGCGCGAGGCCACCGCGAATATTCTAATTTACCCGATTTACGTACGAACAACGCGAAATCGGAAAGCCTCGAGCCTTCTGTACCTGTACCGCCGCGCAATCGCGTTCCCTTCCGTTCCGTTTAAAAAAATTAATCTCCCGCCGCGAGGATCGTTTAGAGAACGCGCTTACGTTGTTTCGACGCTGGTTTAGACGTTGCTTACCAAACGAAGCACCGGCTAATCGGCATTAGCGCGATAATAATGTCGGGCTGCAATCGTACGTGCAATTGAACGACCGTCGATAATCCAATTGGACTTTACACCAATTGGATGTTCCGATGGAAGCGTGGTCGGTCGTTTAATCGACGCCACCGTGTATACATCGTTGTGGTTTTGTTTCCACCATGCTCCGCGCGCCTCCATTCGTGGCACGATGGTAATCTACTGGCCGCTCGTAATTGCTTAATTAGGTCAGTCGGGCAAAAAATAAGGATGGGTCATCGACGATTCTCCGGGAACGTACAAATTGTCGTTGACGTCGACGAAATATCGCTTCGGCTGCCGACTCTATCGGAATTTCACCCGTAACCTCCGCGTCGAGGATGATCTCCGCGAATGGAAAACAAGATTATGCCCAATGATTGCGTCACGATCACGGGATATCCCCCTCCCCCCCGGTCGTTTAAAACGGACAGCTGAGAGAGCTTAATTCCAAGTTTCTCTCGTGGATTATCTAAACTCCGCGTTGGTCGTTCTTACAACGAAACGTTGGGAACGGATATCGGTCGGCGCGCAACAGGTCAAACGAGCAATTTTTTCGCGACATCTATTCGCGCGTCCAATTCATCCGATCTATCGAGTTCGACGTAACGAGATACTATATGGACCCGGCGATTTCTCATCAAGCATCGCTGACCCGGAATCAAACTTCGCCTAGTCACGAGAGTACAATGCCACTACAACGAAGGGTTGCAACCCCATCCCGACTTCTCCGCCGGTTCAATCGGATGCATCGGCACGAATACCGATAGCCTCTCTCGCGAACAATGATGCGCATTTAATTGTGCGCACCTGTGAATACGCGAATCTAGCAGCACGATTGCTGCGCGCTGCTCGCAAATCGGACTAGCAAAAATCGGTACTCGAAGTAGGAAGCTCGTAAAAATGTTTCGAACAGAACGAGATTCCTGAATAAATTTTTGCGAAATATTTTTGCGAAATATTTCCGCGAAATAGTTCCGCGAAATAATTCCGTGAAATAAATTGGAGATTAAAGGAGAAATAATTCCGATCCATCCAACGAATTTCTAATCGGCGATCGGACGAAATAAATTCTCGGAGTAGAAAGTAGGAAAGGAATTGCGCGGGAGTTTGCAAATCTTGGAAAATTCTATAGGTTTCGGTATATTACGCGGAAAAGTGGTTATTCGCGGCCGATTCGCGATACACCCGGCACAATGCAGGAAAGTGCTAACTCAAACCCTTGGTGCACGTATACGGGAGAATCCGGCCGCCGGTTGATACATCCCCGGAGAGTTTCGCAAGATATTCCCTTGTACCTATATCCAGGTCCCATCGCTACCCTCGAGATTTACGCCCGGAAGGGTTGCGTATATATATATATATATCGAGGCTTCGTCGTTCTTGTATAAGGCAGGTAAAACCTTATTGGTTTCGCGGAGGAGCAAAGGTTTCGAGTATCCTCGACTCGACCGCAAAGTTCTTCATCGAATCGTCTCCAACTTTCCAACGGTCTCCTCTCTTATATTTTCCCACGAGAAAAATGGAGGAGAAAAAATACAGAAATACGAAGAAATTCTTTAATTTCGTTCGATATCGACGACGCAATCTCGGCAATGGATAGAAATTGCGATGCAGCTTGTATCGCGTAATAATTTCGACGAAATCCGGAGAATTTGAACGCGGATCGGGAAAGAATCTCGGTGGCTGTTTAAAGAATTCCATCACGCGTGTGGTATTTCGCTGTGCCCCTTCGAAGCGAATCAAACTGACCATCGCTCATCTGGCTTCCCTCGTGCACCGCGTTACACCGGTATTTTCTGAATCATCGACCCTGGTCACGTTCATTCATGCCTCAAATTTGGCGGCCTTTGAAACGGTTTGACGGACAAGAGGAAATCGATAACAGGGTCAGAGCAACTTACCGCGACTTGTTGACTGTTGGTGGGACTAGGGCTCGGACTGGGCGTCGAATTCGGGGTTGAAATTTCGCCCGACGTTGGCGAGACTGAGCCTGCGGTGAGAGTGCCAACTGTTGGAAACGCTCGTACCGGATCCGCTTGCCATTGCTTATGGATTTGCTGCGAGGTATCCCGGAATCTAGCACCCTGAAGATCAAAGGATAAACGATGAAAACTCGATAGCTCGACACCCCATCGGGGCAAGTCGTTCCGCGTGAAGATTATTTCCCTGACCGCGAGAACGGATAAAACGCGTACAAACGGTGGACGAAACGATATCGAAAGTCGCATTAAAACGGACGAGTGGCAAACACGCGAATCCTCGGGGAATCAGACCGCAGGAACGACTTACGCACACCTTTGTACGTCGTAAATCGTACACGATGACACACTTCGATTAGTCGCGGATATTTGCCTCCGAACAATTGTATCGTAAACGATCGGCCGGCACGGTCCACTGAAAAACTGCTTTCGAAAGGCTTATTCATCCGCGCGGACGTAACTGAATAGAAGAGAGCTCTGCGAGCCTTCGAAACCAATTGCCACGACGATGGTTAAACGAAAGGAAACGGTACACCGAGGTGTTTGAAATTTTCAAAGAACTATCTAAAATGGCGGTGCGAGTGTCGTGGTTCCCTGGGAGTAACTCGGAGGAAACGTGCCGGGTACCTTGCACGGAGATTCGCAGACCTATAACCGAAACTACAAAGGCTCGCGTGCATCCGTGTAAGGCGACTAGAAGGAACGTCGCCTCTCGCAGTACGGTAATTACAGTTATGCAACAACCTGCCATAACAGCGATTAGCATAGGAGTATATAGGAGTATAATGGAGGACTCCGACGTAAGTGGAGCTCCGCTTGCCATGCGCTACGCGATCCGGCAAACGCTTCTTCTCTCTATCGTCTCGATCACCTCCCCCCCGTTAAACAGTCGAGATATTCTTCTCCATCGACGGAAGAAAGGGGCGATAACGCCGAGAGGAATCCGCTCGTGCCGCTTGGAAATTAATTCCACGACGAACGAGGATAATTCCCGGCCGGTGTGCCGCGTTTACTCTTAATATTACGAGCACAATGCGCGCAATTTCATCCATCGCGCGGCGGCTAATTGCGCGTGGAATTGCACCCGGTCGACGAAAGAAAGAATCGCGGTCGCTGTTTTTGTATTGCCTTAAATACACCGTACGATTCAATCGTCTCTAAATTCCCTGTCCTTTCTCCGTCTTCCTTTCTTCTCCCGCTTCGCCTTTTATTTCCCACCTTTTTCCGTTTCCCCTAGCTGCTCGTCGCTCGAACAAAGGCCCGCGGGTCGGACGGTGCGCGAAATTTCGGACGATACAAAAAGTGGCGACAGGGTGGCACGGGAAAAGCAAATATTCGCGCAGTTTTCTACGCGAGAATAAAAATATATTCCACGCTCCGTTCTCCCCGCGACCTGTACGCGAGTTTCCATGCACGCGCTTCATTAATTCAACAACGACGAGTCTCTCGTTTAAAAATCCAATCTTCGCGCATATTTTTACATCCAGAAACGTTCTCCGCCTTCGTCGCGCCAGACCTTTGTACCGAAGGCGATCGATCTTTCTTCGCGTTGCATTCGAAAATGAGCGCGCGATCCGCGCGTTCCGCCGACGGAAATAAATTCCGAATCCGCGATCCGGCGTGGAAACAACGCCGTAAATCTCTGACAAAATGAAATTTCAAGGACTCGGGACGCCAGTGCCGAAACTTCTCCGCGAAACTCGGATCGCGAACCGCATTCTTCCGTCGCGGAAGGACGCTTGTTCCGCGACGATACTCGAGTCGATCGTTCCCCGTTTAATCGTATCCCTCGCCAGAGATTGCCCTTTTCCGCGTACCCCGGGGGGTGATCCTCGAGGACGCCTCGTAACCGCGGCACGCGTTCATCTTCTCGGAGATATTACGGGGAAACGAGCGCGAACAAACGTACGAATTAGAGGGTAACGGGGGAGCAGCGATTGAACCCTGCGCGATCCCAGGAACGAACGAACGACCGAGCCGTGGAGTGATCGAGCACGATCGAGATCGACAGATACGTCCACGGTGCTGTCCGGTATCGATCCGGTCGATCGTGGGGGTCGCTTACCGGAATACGGTACACCGCGTTTACACCGGCCACGATTGCCTCTCGTGTAAATAAAGGCGTGGTTTTAATTAAGCGACAAGGAAGTAACACGGTGGGTATATAACACGTGCAATTACGTAACGACCGAGTAGGACGTAGCGAGGGGTCCATCTCGGACGAAACGCAATCACGTAACAGGGTGCATCTTATAGAGGCGCGTCGACGAACCGTGGCGAGAGACGGAGGAACGATAATTGAGACAGCGTATCGCGACGATTCGTATTGAGAATGATACCGGGACGACGAGATGCCACACGTTTATCTTAATCGCCTAGATTAATAGAATGCAACGAGGACGAGGCGAGCGTTCCGAGAAAACTCGTAAAACTGGCCTAAAAAGTTATCGCGATGTAACAGCGTTGCCGCGGTTTGCTGATAACGGCTGAGATCGCAGGATCGTCGAAAGAGAACCACGAGTCGGTTATTATGACATAAGCGACGCGATTATACCTGCGAAAGTATTCGCGACAGAGTAAATCTCGCGCGATCGAGCATCTGCGATTAATTCCGCGCGATCCGAACAGCGCCGGGATTCCTCTCTCAGGTATCGCAAAGTCTCTGCCTCCGAATGGCGGATTTCGGTACCTAATCGGGTGCAGATTAACCTCCCGGTTTCCACCTAGGGAAATTCGATAGCCATCGACAACGTTGTCGTAATCTCGGCCTGTTTCAAATTCGCGGCTACTTTATGCGACAGAGGGGCGCGATAAGGGAAACCTAGAACCCTCGAACCGTGCAACATAAAAATGCACTACGCATTGCGTGTCGAGCGCGTACGCTCTATCTCGTCCGTGTCGTAACGTTCGCTCGACTTTTACTCATTCGAACGTAGTACGGCTCGGAGTTGCTCGGTATGCAATTACGTCAAGCGTCGCAGCCTCGAGCTTCGAGCTTCGAGAGCGAGAGCGTAAAAAATTAATTGTCTCTAATCCACGGTGTCGTATGAACGTCGTTTAAGGGGAACAACAACAAAGATCGTACGCGGGACCGGAGAAAACGGGCAAAAGGGGCAATTTCCGAGAGGTTCTCGTTTCAGCTGCATAGGCGCCGATGCGGCCCAATCAATTTCCCGGTTGCTCGTAAGTCACTCTCTCGACCGTGTTTCTCCGCGTACGTACTCGCGTCCTTGTGGTCGTGTTGCGCGAACAGGAATTACGCGATAGATAACGGTTAATCTTGCAGCGTGATCTCAATGGCCAGACGATATCGACCGTAGATAAAGGAAAACACGAGACGAAGGAGAAAGAAACGCGGAACGATCCTCCTTTCCATCCGGGGCCACCGTTGACGCGAACGCGCCACCCCGATGCGGTCCCTTCCCGTCCGGTCCCCTAATTAATTCAGGGTGAAATCGGTATCGCGCGTGTATCGATTTATCATTGGCTTTCGTTTCGTTACGCATTGCGACCGATCGTTATTAATCGTCGCGGCCAGATTAGGAACGGTGCCGAAGGTATCGAGTCAATTAGCCCGAGTGTCGGTCCAAAAAGGCAGATACAAGATTCCGATAGGAAAATATCGCTTATCGAAACCCACAGACTTCCCAGCGACGCGTTTCAGCGGATAGAACGTAATTACGGGACGTTTAAATTGAAATTGATTAATGATCGCGGTCGCCGTACGCGTCTAATGCATCGTGGTCTGGCGCGCGTTCGCTGGAAAAATCCCCTTAAAGCGGTTCTAACCGTACGAATATAGAATATCGCTTATCTACGATATTCGGCCTTGTTCGGGCTAAAACATCGATTTGCATTCTTTCGATGACGCAGAAACCGCGTGGCTTAATGGCCGGCCGCAAAAACCGAGTGACCTCAAGTGTATGATATACCGCGGCGCTATTCAGGTTTACGGTTCGCGTTATTCCTTTTCGACTGCCTACGGACCTTTTTACCACGGACCAATTTTCTCTATCCGCGAACGCTCGCGTATAAAGCCGAAGCGCGCGAGCCACGAAGCGAGTTCTAAAAACGTCCCGGTTCTATTTCTACGCGAATAAATCTATCGCCCGTTACGAATCCCCTTCTTTGATACCTCGCTAAAGAGATCGTCCAGCTCTTTTCGTGACAGCTTTGCCTTCATCCCGCGAACATTCCTCGCATCGAACTTGCCCAGAAGTCGACCGAATTACACGGCCCGTTCTCGATTCCTCGAGCAACACACGGCACGGAATTTCTTTGCCAGTCCCCAACTCGTCGGCCAACGTACGCCGTGTCACCTCCTCCGCCGCCTCTTTTCGTTCCTCTTCTTCCTCCTCTTCGCGGATCCCCGTCGCGCTCTCAGAATCCGCTGGGTCTTTTTAGATACACAAATAGTCGATGACGCGACGCGAAAACTGCGACGGAAGGTCGCGAGCTAATGCCCGTATCGCACGACCGGCCGGCACTTTTCGTTCGAGCCGACATCGTCGTGCCGAATGGTCCCGTGCCACTGCTTCTCCCTTCTCCTCTTTCGATCCGCACAGGCTACTAGCTCGATGATAATTAACGAAACGGCGCATAGGCCGCGCGGGACTCGTAGCTATGAATTCTGCAAACGTATAATCGGCGGACGTGACCAATCGTAGTTCAAGATCGCCGACACGTCGAATTGCGTTCTATCCACGACCTGCACGCCGGGATATCGCGTAATCGTTGCATCGCGCGCGACTTTTCGCTCGGCCGCGATTCCACGCCCTAAATTCGCGTGACTTCGCGCAGATAGGCCAGCAGGTCCTTCCGAAAGCGATATCGATTCGCCGCGTGTCCTCTTTCGCCTCGAAACCGCCGCTTTTACCTCGCGATGAAAACGCTCTGACGAAGCACAAACTCGTCGAGTGTCGGTCTCTAGGCGAACTCTCTTCGATGATCCGCAGATTTTCAACCAACGCGACGCGAACGCTTGGAACAGGGTTTGGGGGGAGGGAGGAGGAGGAGGAGGAGGAGGAGGAGGAGGAGGAGAAGGAGAGAAAGGGAAGAGAGGGTAGAGGAGTAGAAGAGAAATGGATCGACGCGAGAACGAAACGATGATCGCGGGATTATGTGCGTTACTCGAACGCGACAACCCTATTGTGTCTTGGAAGAACGACGTGTTCGGGAATTCGGCAAGAGTTTAATTAAATTGGATCGATCCCCCCAAGGAGAATTCCAAGCGTTCGATCCGATCTGTTATTTGGAGACCCTGTCAGCAGCCTTCGAACGTAACTGGTCTCAACGCCCACGCGAAATTACCAGCCTCTCCTTCCTACCCTAGCCTCTCGCTCGCTCACACGCTCTCTCCTCGCCCTCCTGCCGCCGGTACTTCCGTCGGTGGCATCTCGTATTTCAGACCGGTACTGGATTTCGATCGGCCAGCCATTGATACCGGGAGGGCGTGTAAACCGTGTATGGTTTCTCAATGACACCGGAGAAATCGGTGTGATCGTAGTTCTCACGAGCTCGAGCTTGACCGATACTCGCGCCGAGATTCTTATCGATTCTACCCGCAGATACTTTTGCGCCACGCCGTTAATCCGACGCGTAAATTCCGCGATCCGGAGCTAGGACTATGAAACACGGAGCAGCGCCACGCGCGTCGGGACCAAGGAAATCCGCCGACGAGGAATCCGCGGAATCTCCGATTGCCCGGCGAATTCGTACATTCAGGGAAAACTTCCAGTGCTGGTCAGCCACTCCGGTAATATCCCGCCGTTCTCGTTCGCTGTCGACCCGTTTCGTCTCCTCGGAAACGCGATCTACCTTTGCTTTCTCTCCGTGTCGAAACGCGCTTCGTCCAATTTCTATCTATCACCCGAACACCTCCCCCGCCCCGACCAGACCCGAAGAAACTTTGATCCCTCGATACGGATTCGGATTACTTCCTTTAATTCCCTTCGAGCCGATACCGACCAGGTTTTCACCGTCTCTCCGCTACCGTCGTCGGTCACGGTCGTTAAACCGAGCGAACTATGCCACGAAATTTCTCGCGTCGAATTTCTCGATTAGGCTTCGCCCCGAAAAAACGATCCAAGCTGGTGATGGATTCCTGCCCGTCCTTGGAATAGGATTCCGAGCGAACGCGTATGATATCCAACGACTAGAATTCTCGGCGAGCACTCGATCGTGGTGTACACCGTCGGCGAGTACACGTTCTAAACGCGCGCTGGGGACCCACGTGAGAACGAAGCCGGACACATCTCTCGGCCGCATAGCTCGAGGGAGGATAAACGACCTCTCGCTCGGCGGAGATCGAGATTGCACCGGCGGCAAAAGCTCGCGAGATCTCGTGTACGGCTCTAATTTAACCGTTGGACGCCGTTTGTTCCCGGCGACAACGGCTTTGTCTCCCGCTGCAAGAAATTCAGGTTACCCGGGTCGACGGGGCTTTTCTTCCGCCCGCGGCAGAGACCGATCGGTGGCTTCGTTTCGCGACACGCTAGGCTTCAGAAGCGCGCGCGCAAGCGCGACCGAGCCACGCACACCGTTTCTCACGGAGTTATCGCGCCACCGCGGGCACCCACGTTCCACGATAAAACAATATCGCCGGGCTTTTTAACGAGCAGCCGCGACGAACTTTTATGCCGTGTCGCCGATCCGTTGCGAAATCGACCGCGAGCCGGCGGAACAATCGACGGTTTCGTAACGCGCGCGCCGCGCCGAGCATCTGCACGCGTCGCGCCGTGAACAAACATCCACTCGGTAGCGTACGCGGTAGTCACCGGGTTCAGCGTTCTCCGCCTTTTCCATCGCGAAACTCTATCTCGCGAGATAATACGGACGAGGTCTGCTCGCGATATCTCGGAGGCACGCGACGG